ATATGGAACTCCATTTTATCAGTTATCCGTGATGTTTATCTTATTTTTACCAGTAAATTTAACTTAAGAAAAAATCATTTCAGAGTCTATTAATATGGTACCTAAAAATGTTATAAAAATTATTGATACATTAATAGCAGGATTCATTTTAAGACAGGAATACATTTTGTTTTATGTTACTTAACATATGTTAATATTTAAACGGTAATTCTATCCTGATAATTCTATATAAAATTAATACTATTGCTTCTGATATTTTATAAACATAAAATGAAAACCAGACATTGTAAGTGCCTTTGAAATCTACAGACCTTATTCTAGGAAATTTAAAATCTGGCTTAGTTTGGCTTTCTTTGTTTCAAAAATATTGGTAAAACTACAGATATTCTACCAAAAAAGGAACATTACCATTAGCTTGAATTTCTTTTAAAAATAAAAGGACTCCATAGCTCTGTATAGGCATTTTGATAAACATTGGAAAAATTTGGAGCAGATACAGGTTTGTATACAGACAGCAATATATGTGCATAGGTCACATTTGTCATTTTTCATAGGTAATTTATTAATTCAGTGTGAAATAACACTAGTTAATTTGATGTTCACTGATGTATTCCAGGACCAGACTGCAATGAATCTTAATAGATTTAGAAAAGGTCGTAACTGAAAAGTTTTCATGTAATCTTAGCTATTTAAATTGGTAACTAGACAAAAATTTAAAAATAGGAGTATTTTCATGGGAGAATATAAAATAATTATTTCTGATCCTTGCTGAATTTTTCCTGTCTTGAGGACATTTGCTAGGAAGTAAGACCTACTTCCTGTCTTCCTAATGCCAGGTTCTCATAGAGCCTCTGAAGATCCTGAATCTTCCCCCTGGAGTTTAGTTCAGGCTTAGATGGGATCCAGAATCCTGCAGAGTCCTTGGGCAGGTTGGGTAGCTGCCCACAGAAAACCCTTTAGACAATAGGACTTTCCCAACATTTGCCTGCTCCTTGTCAGTCACTCTAATTGCAGGTGGAAAGTTATTTTTAAAATTCCCTTTTCTCAATTATTTTTTCTAATTCTGTAACTCTTGTCCTTTTTCCTTAAACACCTTATTTTTACCATTTGCTATTTTCCAGATACTGTGGTAGCCATACAAAGTTTTAAAAACATGGTTTTTTCCTTTTGTGAACTTATGTGGTATGATGGGATAGACAGACACCAAAAGGTGACGTAAGATCAATATAGTAAGGACTATTAGAGATGCACTAGGGATATTAAGGGGGTAAAGAGTGTGGATACCTCACATGGTTAAGGGGGTGGTGGATTGTGTGGGGAAGGGTTCTTAGACCTTTGGAAGTAACTTAAGATGAATCCAGAAGCAGAAGTAAAAGTCTGCCAGGCACAGATGATGCTAGAGTGGGGAAGGCCTTCCTGGTAAGTGAACCTCATGAGTAAAGGCGTGAAATGAAGCACAACTTGGAGTTTACTAGGTAGCTACAAATAAAGGCACTTCCTGATGTGCACTTTTGAATAGTTAATACTTTCTAAAGATGTTTTATCACCAAGGAATACTCATTACAGCTTATTCAGGCTCCTACTAGATTCACTATATTTAGTTCTTTAGCCATTATGTGCACAAAACAACACACCATGAGTCATGAGAGTTATATATACCTGGGGTCACTTCTCAGCTCTGTCCCCCACTCACCATGTGACTAAGGGCAAGTAATTTAAACTCTCTGAGCTGTAGTTTCTTTATCCCTAAAACAGAGGTAAAAATAGTTGTTTTAGAGTTGCCTCGAGGATTAAATAACATAATGGTTTTAAGATGGTTAGGATAGCATGGACCCAAACTAGTCCCCTCAGTAGATGGCAGCTGTCACTATTATATTAATTGATACAAGTATCAATTTCTTTTTAAACATTAAATAAAATTTATTGAATTTTAGGAATCATAGAACAATTAAAATATGATTTCATGTATATGAATTGCTTAAACTGACATACTAGGTTCTTTGGTCATATTTTGTTCCTTTTTTAATAGGCAAAATCTCAAATATTATCCAGTGTATTGGATATTGCCCATCAGTTTATAAAGGAAGTTAATCCAGATGAACCCAAAAGGGAGAATAATTCTACAAAAGAAACCAGCAAAAGTCAGCATAAACCAAAATCTCCACTTCTGCAGGGGAGCAGCTCTGAGGTAAACTGAGGAAAATACAGTAGACATTTTGTGTCATACGTGATCATGGCAAATGTCATTCGTGTACGTAACTAGAGCTATAGAGTTTTGCAGATTATTTTATCACATTGTTATTTAATAGGGATTTGAATTTTTTTTTTTACCAAATACACCATGACTATAAAAATCTTTTCAAGGAGATTGCTTTGGTTCCACTGAACACTGATCATTTTGAGGAATGATCTTTTGACCATTTGACTTTGAGCATTTTTACCATGTCAGGAATTGAGTAAGTATTTAGGGAAAACATTAAAACAAAAACAACAATGCAATACAGCAATTTTATATTAGTCAGGACTTCAAAAAGGCTAAAAATACAAAACCTTGCCAAGAGATCTAGATGACAGGCAGTTTCACAGTTATTTAAAACCAGATTGATACCAAATTCTGGCAGTTATTCAGATTGACTACTGACCCGATGATGTGCTGGATAAGCTTTTTATCAGCTCATGCCTGTGTTTTTGTAATAGACTTGTATTGATTCTTTAGCGAAAAACAAGCTTCGGCTTTTGATCTATGTTATAATCCTCATTCTTTTAGATGCCAATTGCCTTTTCCCTCCAGTTCAGAAACTATGAGTAACTTGGCCAAAGTCACATAGCTTATTACTTGGTGACAAAGTCTGGGTTGAACTTAAGTTGAACTTAAGTTTCCTGAGCTCCAAATCCATGCTCATAGAACATAGAAGAAAATGTGCTCTGTGCTAGTGGAACCTCTTTTCAGCAGGGAAACTATGCTTGAATTTTCCAGGACAGTCAGTGTATTTGCATGGGTTTGATTTTCTAATAGACCTCCCAAGGGTGTTTTGGAAAGAATCACTGAATGAGGTACAGCCTCATTATATAATAATAATGTATGGAAGACCAGACACTGCCTTAAATATTTTACATGTATTATTTCCTTTTGTCTCTTTTCTTAATTATTCCTTTTTTTCAAAAGAGAGAATAGTGGCAAAAAACAGTTTTTGTAAATTGTCCAGCATATCATTGATAATGGAACTTAGATTTGAGCTCACACCTCTGACTCCAAATTTCTTGCTTTTAACAACTACACAGAGGTAGTAGTTTTAAAGGTTTCTCCTTCATGCCTACCATTTTATCTAATTTATCCTATCAAAAATAAATCAGCAGCTAATTTTTATTGCACATCAAATACTAGGTGTTGTGCTTAATGCTTTACTTGCCTTATCTTATCCAATAATCACTGTGACCATATAAATTCTGTGCTATTATTACCCCCATTTAACCGATGAGAAAGGTGGCAAGAGGTTAAGTAACTAGTCCTACTAGAAAGCTATAAAGTGGACTCCTTTGTGCTTATAATCCTTACAATATATGCTTCCTCTTGTCTCCATAGGTAACTATGTATGCTGTATAGATCCCCCCACCTCTTATCTTAATTTAAAAGCCATTCATTCACTGGTTTCATCCAGAGGTGTGTATTAAAATCAACTGGAAAAACATTAAAGAAATACACATGACTGAATTCAGCATCTCTGTGAGTGAGGTCCAGGCATGTGTGGCTTTGTAACAACTCCTCAGTGATTCTGGTGAGTATTCGTAGTTGGGAGTCACTGCTATAGCCCTTCAGGTGTACACCTGTACACAGAGCACACACTGAAGAGATAACCCTCTCAAGGGCTCAGCATTCCTCTATGGAGAAGGGCATTGGTTCTCAAACCGTAATAAGCACCAGAAGCACTGGATGAGTTTGTTAAAAATGTGCATTCCTGGGTTGCCACCCAAATTTTGATTTCTTTTTTTTTTTTAATACCTGGATTAGGGCTTAGGAGTCTGATTTTTAATTAGCACTCCCAAGCAGTACTAATGGCTGGAAGAGTCAAAATCGTGTCAAAAACTGATATCTGTTTTATCACATTTTAGTGGATTTGAACTATTTTTAATGGATTCAAACCAATGCACATCTTTTTGTTGGAAAGAGGAGCAGTTCATGGAAGAGTTCATTTTAGTGGCTGAAACCTGGGTTTGAAATGCTGGCACTGGTTTTCTTATAGCTTTGTAACGCTGGGCAAATTACTTAGCGTTTTTGACCTCTGTTTTCTCCTCTGGAAAATGGTGATATTAAGACACATTTTACAGGGATATCCTGTGCTTAGTAATGAATGTATAGTGTTGGATTTCTATGTGCTCCTTCAAATTTCCTAGCTCCCTCAGAGTTGGGCAGGGTCATGTTGGGCTCTGAGTGAAAGTGATATATGACAGTTCTGAGCTGAAGCATTTAAGAGCTAATGTACAACCCTCTAGCTTTTTCTTACTCTGCCACAGCTATGTGGAAGCCAGATATTTCAATGGCATAACTCCAAGATGCAAATGTCTTACAACTCTGATTCATTGCTTGGAAGGGATCTGCCCTGGACAGCTGCTGAAAATACTGAATACTTCAACCATTTTGTATTAGCCACTGAGTTTTCAGTGCTTCTTCACAGTGCAGCATGCATACATAGACACACTGACATATTGTTTACTGGATACCTATAAGTACCTTCTCACCTACTCCTAAAGCTTATTGTCTTCAAACTAAATTCATCCCTTCTCTTCTAAAACCTACAAATGTTACTGTTGACAGCTCACTATTTTAGCTTTCCAAGCCAACAAAGGCAGTTATTTCCTATAGTTGTTTGTCTTCCTCCTCTGCACATGCGTTAAGTTATTGTATTAGTCTACTCAGGCTGCCATAACAAAATATTTTAGACTGAGTGGCCTAAACAACAGAGATTTATTTTCTCACAGTTCTATAAGCTTAAAGTCCCAGATCAAGGTGTTGGCAGATTTGGTTCCTGATGAGGGTTTTCTTCCTGGCCTCATTCTTGCTGCTTTCTTACATGGCCTTTCCTCTGTGCACACGTAGGGAGAGAGCCAGACAGACAGACACTGGGGGCTAGGGCTTTAACATGAATTTGGGGGGAGGCTCAATTCATTACATAACAGTTACTATGCCCCATGCAGTCTACCATCTAAAAACTTTCTTGAATGTTTAATCACTTATTCTATCCTTATTGCTATTCTAGATACTGCAATTAGCTATTCTGAAAGAACAAAACGTTTATAAGTGGAAAGTGCATTTCATTCTCTCCCCTTCTAGGGGTCAATTAACACTTCCAGTTTTGTATATATGTATTTCTTTACACAAATGTTAATATATTTTGCATACTGCTCTGAAAACATGCTTTTTATACTTAATCAATGTAGTTTTCATATCCATATAAGTACATTCTACAGCCTTCTCATTCTATGCAGTGGCTATAAAATACTCTATTTATTGGATGTGAAAGACTTTTAAAAATATATCTTCCACTGATCAACATTTATGCAGCTCTAATCTTTTTCCAGTACAAAATATAAAGTATAATTTTGAAAAATATTGTTTTGCATATATGTAAGTATACTGAGATGATAAAATCCTGAAATTCTTAGGTAAGATGATTATGTATTTATAATCTTGGTCAATATTGTCAAGTGGTTATAGCATTTTCATTGGTTTCCTTGGATTCAAACTGACTATTCCCTAATTTCTCTCTCTGCCACACTACTGTGTGGAACTTCTCAGTGGTTTTGCATTTCTCATAAGTTTAAGTCTGAGTTCCTCTATATGGCAAGGAGAACCCTTCACAGACTGTCACTGCTTGTCTTTCTACCATTTATGTTTTCTCATCCTCCGTTTTTTTGCTATATCAATGCAAACTACTTACAGTTCCTGCCACAATGTTGTTCTACTCCATGTCTTAGCATGTATATCTTTCCTTCTCTCTGGAATACTGCCCTTGCCACTTTTTGCTTATGGAATTCTTGCTTTATCTTTCAAAACCCAGTTCAGAAGTTACTTCCTCTGAGTGACACCTGCTCCCTGTGTCTGTTTCTGTCGGGGACTTATTAACCTGTGCTTCTGTTGTTAACAGCTAGCACAATGTCTAGTGTCTGACAGGTCCTCAGAATTTTTTTGCTTATTTTTAAAAATTTTCGTACACGTCTTTAACAACATGCTCTCAATTGTACTCTAACAATCTGCCTGTTCATTTTTCAATTAAAAGCTTAACATTGAGATTTCTACTCTTGTATCTAAAAGATAGCCATGGAGATTTAGCAATTTGATCAATGTAGATAATCCATATATGATAATTCAGCCATTGGTATGGTTTTTATTTTGCTTGAGTTTAATGTGGCTGTTTTCTCTGATTCACTGGATAACTGTCAAATACTACCTTTGCTTTCTTCTGTGTGTTCAGACTGAATTTATATTTTGCACTGAATTCTTCTGCCTCATCATCATTGAGAAGCATACAATATTTCATATGTACTGATGAACTTATTCATTCATTTTACTGACTTTTACCGAGCACTTAATTTGTGCCAGGCACTGCTCTTGGCACTAAGGAAAAAGACAAAATCTCTGATCTCATCATATTCTAATGGGGAGAGACAGGCAATAAACAAACATGTAGAATTAATTTATATAGAGGTAAGTAATGGGAAGAAAAAACAAATAAAAGATTATAAACTGGGGGAAAAAGGAGCCTATTATTTTTAGGATCATCAGTGAAGAACTAACTCTCTGAGTAAGTGGCATTTGAGCAAAGACTAAGAAGTGAGGAAAATGGAGAAAGTTCATTTCAGGCACTGGGTATTGCTAATACAAGTCCCCAAGGAGGGAATGTGCTTGATGGGTTCCCAGAACTACAGGAATGTGAGTTGAGCTGGAACAGGGTGAATGAAGGGGAGAATGGAAGGAGGTGAAGTAAAAGGCAAGAAAATATAAGGTTGTGTAGGGCCTTTTAGGTCTTGGTAGGAACTTGAGGTTTCACAGAAAGTCAACAGAGTTTTGAACGGGGAGTGACATGATCAGATTTACATTTTTAAAAAAACTACTCTTTCTGATGTGGTAAGGTTGCAGGGAGCAGGAGATTGGGGAAAGTAGAAAGGTTGGATACAAGGCTATTGCTTCTTTATAGCAGTAACACTGGTGAATAGCATAATGACAAGTCATCAGTCCCGTAGGCTCTCATTTTAATAATATCTGAAGAAACTATAATTGCCAATAGAGGTTTAAAGGAAACAGGAAAGCATATAAGTACAATTTAAAAACATTCTAAATTTAAAAATTTCTGATTCATAATGAGAAATAATTAGTCCTACCTGTATTTTAAGAAACAGGAAATTTAATAAAGCATGCTTAGATATCCTTTTAATTGGTTTAGGTAGAAATTACAACAACAAAAAAAGCAAAATGTACAAAACCAAGAGATAGGCTCTTGGGTGAAGGGTCATTCGATGAAGAAGCTTCTGCCCAGTCCTTTCAGGAAGCGTTAAGTCAGTGGAGAACCGGCAATCACGATGACAACGAGAAACAGAACTTACATGAAGCAAAACCAGGTATGGCTATTTTTATAACATGAATATTATAAAATGAAGCTCTCCATTCTCTGTGACTATATTAATAAATGCAGTGTTCAAAAACAATAAACATTGAGACAGCAGTTTGCTGTAACTCCTCAAAGGGGTATGCAGTGTATGGTGAATGGTTTAATACTTACAGACCCTGAATCGGGCACTAGGGCACTTGCACTTGTTTTCTGTGTAACCTCAGACTGTCAAATGAGAGGCTAACTGGATTATTTCAGCTCCCACTCTCTCAGCAGGAAATTTTTGTCAGAACAACTATTTCTTTTTTTAAGCTGTAATTGCAACACATGAAATGGGAGGGTCTGTGGGATAGAGAAATAAAGAATTTTGGTGGCTCACGCCTGTAATCCTAGCACTCTGGGAGGCTGAGGCGGGAGGATTGTTTGAGCTCAGGAGTTCGAGACCAGCCTAAGCAAGAGCGAGACCCCGTCTCTACTAAAAATAGAAAGAAATTAGCTGGACAACTAAAAATACATAGAAAAAATTAGCCGAGCATGGTGGCGCATGCCTGTAGTCCCAGCTATTCGGGAGGCTGAGACAGGAGGATCGCTTGAGCCCAGGAGTCTGTGGTTGCTGTGAGCTAGGCTGATGCTATGGCACTCTAGCCCCAAAATTTCAGGGTCAAAATTGATTTGTGTTTTTTTTTCTTTCTCTTTGAAGAGCTATTTTCAATTTTTTCTTGATGATTTTAACTCTCATACAATAGTCATTGAAGATCTAGATGACTGAAGTGTAGAGTGTCTTTGTTTTAAATTTCCTAGTATCTCTTGAGGAAAAGCATAAGTATTTAAGGTATTCAATTTATTAATTTTATTTCTTGGACTCTTGTGTCTTCCAATTGCTTTTCATTGAATATAAAATGCTAGATAAGAAATTTCAGTAATGTATCTTACTTGACAGAGGCATCCAATTTTACTATTTTTACTTCATTCTTTTCCAGTGAAGCAACTCTCCTTATCATTCCTCTTTTATTTATTACATAGTATAATTTCCGATGTCAAAGTACCTACCATCTTCCCAATTATAAGTGGATTTTTACTGAATGCTCTCTCCTTTAAATATTTTTTCCTACATTTATTCATGCTATACATCAATTTCATTAATAGTTCCAAGACTCTGTATGCTCGCTTCTTAGTAGTATGTACCTTTAGTACGTACCTCATCTCTCATTGACTTTTTGTTATGTTATGTGCTTTATACTTGTAATTTCATATTCTAATGTATTTCTTTTATTTTTCAACCCTGAAAAATACTAAATATTCTATAGAAATATCCTCTTAATTGTCTACTTTGAAAGGCATAGTATTTAAAATAATATTAATGCTGAGTTGAAAAATCGCTAGATCGGAAGTCCAAAACTATTTTAAAAATTTGTTTTTCATAATGGGAATAGCTATATGATAAAAATAATATGATGATTATTTTAAATGACTTAACTATAACAAAAAGTTACCAAGAAGAAAGCAAAAATAGCCCAATCCTACCTTCTAGAGATAACCAATATTAACATTTTGGTACACGTTTTTCAGTAAATATAGTTGAGCACACACACAGGAGAAAAAATTAGCCAACACTGGGTATGCTCTTAGTTAACTTTCATTTTCACTGAGAGTCTGTCATGGACAACCTCCCTTCTAAATACAGATATACATCATCATTTGTAATTGTTACCTGGTATTTTGTATGTCATGACTTAATCGGACCTTTGTTGGTGGATATTTTATTTTTAATTTTCAGTATTATAAAAGAAGTTATAATGGCCATCTTAGCTGTTTGTGGACTTACACAATTACCTTAAAATACATTTCTAAATATAGAAATGTTATCTCAGTGGCAACTTTTTTTATTAAAATTTTGATAAATTTATCGGATTGTCCTTTAAAAAGATCACTGTCAGTTACTCTCACTGTTAGTGTATAAGATGACTATTTCCCCATATTATCTAATTCTTTAGAATTAGAATTGTGCTGCTATAAATATTCAAGTGCACCACAAAACATGCCTCAACAAATTAAAAAAAAAAAACTAGAAATTATGTCATATATTTTCTCAGACCACAGTGGAATAAAATTAGAAATCAATTCCAACAGAAACATTCAACTCTAGGAGTGGAATAGCTAGGTCATAGGGTGTGCATATCCTCAACTGTACTAGATAAAGCTGAATTATTTACTAAAGAATTTGTATTCCCAGCTGCAGCGTATAAGAATTTTGGTTGTTTTCTGTTATCAGTAACACTTAATATTGTCAGATTTAAAAATTCTTGCTGGTCTGATAGAGATGAATTTGTCTACTTCTTATTACAAATGACATTCAGCATCTTTTCATATGAAATAATTCAGCTTTATCTAAATAATTCAGCTTTATCTAGTACAGTTGAGGATATGCACACCCTATGACCCAGCTCCTAGATATAGACATTTCTAGAAATGTGTGCACGTGTGTACAAGGGGATCTGTACAGGAAAATTCATGTCAGCATCATTTGACATGTGAAAAATGGGAAACAATACCTACTCAGCAGTAGATTGTTTAATTTTAATGAGTTGAGCCACTGGCTCAAGTTGGCTTAATTTCAGCCACTGGATTCCTGACTGTTCTTCAGACACTTCAAGTATATACATCTTAGGACTTTTGCACTGTGTATTAGGGAAAATATCCACAATTCCATCAATACAAGTGATAGAGAATCTTACACAAATTCTCACAGAAGTTAGCTAGTGAACCATGAAACAAGAGAGCAAATCGAAACCTAAGTTACTTAGCTTACGTGGCGTTTTTCCAGGGAGCCATGACTTGTAAACCCATATATTCTAGATTTGTTTACTATAAGCAATTCTAAACAAGGGCTATCATATTAAATATACTATATAGCTAAAGATTCTCCTCCTAGTGAATATTACTAATTTATTTGCCAGGAGGTCTAATTATCACAGGCAAATTAACCCAGGTCACCTCCCATCTTTATTCCTGGGAACGAGCCATTGGTAATGGGAGAAAAGTGAATCACATGCCAGCTGCTTTAACTCCTTCCTCCCCATCATCCTTCTAGGTTTGGGGGTTATATTTCAAATGCAGTGGCTCTTCTCTATGACCTAGACAGAAAACCAAAGTGAGCCTCTCATTTTTTTTTTTCATTTTCTTTCAGCTCCTTGTCAAAAAATCTTTTGTTTTACAGTAGAAAGGGGGACTCATACTGGTGACATCTCCTTTTTCTCATGACTTGCTCATGTCCGTTACTTCTGCTCTTTCAGTTTAATGGATTCTAGTTGGTGTTTCTCAGAAGTTCTTTCTTTGCTTTTTTACCCTTTGACAAGAATGCAAGTGGGATGGCGTACATCTTTTGGTTTGTTTTAATAGCCAGCCTGTGGCTGTTTCTGGAAGAAAATCATTAAAGTCTACAGTATGAGATTAGCACACCCTTTAGCTTTGTAATTTAGAAAATATGTTTTTTTCCCATCTTTACTACTTCTCTTTCTTCTCCTACATTTTCTCCTCTATGCTGTTCAGTTTGGAGAGAGGGGCCATATATGGGAGGGTGGAGAGACTAGAAATCCTGAATTTATTCTGCTTTCTTTCCCAGAAATCTTCATCAGTTTTAAATATCTCTGAATAGTGATTTTAATTTAGTAGTACTTAAGAAATATCTTAAGCATTTGGAAGTAAATTATTATGTAGATATAAATTTATGAGGATAGTTGTCACCTTTAGGTGTCATTTGAATTATTTTCTGTTTCTCATAATGAGTAAACATTGTTGTCAGTGGCTATAATACTTTATGTATGTGTATATTATACCTTTACATTTGTGTGTGTATAGAATGTACACTGAATCTGTTTGTATTTATTTTCCTCATTTAAAAGAATTAGTTGCTTTAAAACACCTTGTGAATCATAAGATCCTTTAAAGGGATTATTGAAGAAGCTGAAGAAGCATTTCATAAATCACCAATATTTAACATTTTGACATTATTTAAATTTTAACCTATTAATTATATAAATATCAAAGCACTTATCCCTCAAAAATGTTGAGTTCTGTATCTTGAGAGAAGATATATATAAACTTGGTTACATTAATTATGCACATTGTGTTTATTTTTATAGACCCATTGGAAGAATGTGAAGTACAGACTGATCTGAAAATTTGGAGAGAACCACTTAATATTGAGTTTAAAGAAAATAGTCTATGCTACATGGAAAAATTATGGCTTAAAAAACATAGGAGGTATTTTCTGAATTTTTATTATTATTAGGAAATATAAAAGTTATTTATGTTTTTTTCTTGTGACATGTCTTTCTGTAACAATTTTATATGTATGTTTCATATTTGCATAAATAATTTTAAAGCAATATTAAATAGCTATGAAGCTTCTACTGTCCTAATAAGAATTTTAATTCCATTTAAGTGTATGATGCATCATTAATTTAGAGTTTGCCTTGAGAAATGGAAATGTGTATATGGAGAAAAGGGACAAATACAGTGTAGAATAACAACAAAAAGAATGTGATAAATGGAAGATTACTTTGAAGAGGTATTGCTGTCAGGATTTTTACATTAGCATAAACACTTGAGGCTATAATTTTCAGAATTGCTTTTAAGTTAAGTAGACATTTAATATTATAATTTTATTAATAACGAAACATATTTTATCCAAATACTATATCATTAGATGCTATCACCTAAAACCGTGACAAAATACAGATTTTTTTTTAGTAGGTCTGAAGTGAGGCCTGAGATTCTGCATTTCTGAATTTCTAATGGCTCCCAGGTGATACTGGTGTGCATGATGCTGGTCTCTGGCCTCATATTGAGGAGCAAGGTGATGGAAGAACTCTCTAGAATGCACCTGAGCAGTGGTGATCAAGACCTTACTTGACCTTCAATCATACAAAACCATCTCCTAAGGTGGCCCATTCCATCTTCGGAATATTAAGCCTGTTATATAATATTTCCTATTGAGCCCTAGTCTGTTTCCAGCTAGTTTCTAAACTTGGTCCTAATTGTACCCATTAAGCCCCTAGAGAGCAAATCTGATTTCTCCGCTCTGTGGGATCTCTTCAGATTTTTGAAATCAGCTCTCATATCTCCCTTGATGCTTCTGTTTGATAGGTTAGTATCTGTACTGCACCACCACCCCCCTTCCTTCAACTGTTTTAAATGTTGAAAATTTTTTTTCATTTAATTATTTTTGTTTTGAAATAAGACATAGAGAAGAGTTGCAAAACAGTAAAAAATTTACCCACTCAATTTTCCCTAATGGTAACATCTTACCTAAATACAGGCGTTTATCAAAACCAAGGAATTGACATAGACACAATATTATTGACTAAACTATAAATTTTATTTGGATTTTATTGGTGTTTCCAAAAACATCCTTAACCTGTTCCAGGATCCAATACAGGGTCTCACATTGCATTTTTTGTCGTATCTCCGTATCCATTACAGTTCTTCAGTCTTTCCCTGTTTTTCATGACCTTAACACGTTTGAAAAGTACCTGCCAGATGTTTAATAGAATGCACTCAATTGGGCCTGTCTGATGTTTTTCGTAATTAAATTGAGGTTGTACACTTTGAGGAAGAATACCACAGAGAGAATGTGTCCTTCTCAGTGTCTGATATTCTGGGGTCATGATGTCAATATATCTTATTACTGGTGATGTTTAACCTTGATCACATGCTTAAAGTGATGCTCACTAAGTTTCTCCACTGTAAAATCATTGCTTTCACTTTACAGTTAATAAATACGTTAGAGGAAGCATTTTGAGATGATGTAAATATTGTTTTCCCTTAAACTTGCACCTCCTGATTCTAGCACTCATGAGTGGATTTTGCCTGCCTCAGTTATTACTCTGCTACTCTATTAGTGATTTCCTATTTCCTTTGGTCTGTCTTCATTTATTAACTGGAATTCTTCTTCAAGAAAGTATTCCTTCTCTCACTTTTATTTGTTTGTTCAATTGTTTATTTATGTGGACTCATGGATATTTATTTTATTTTGGGGATTAATATCTAATATTGCTATTTATTTTGTGACTCATATTGTTCCTGCTTTGGCCATTGGAGGCGCTCTCAGGTTGACTCCTCCATCCTTTTGACATATCCTCATTTTTTTTTGTTTTTGGTTAGTTTGCTTTGAACATCTCTTTATTCTTTTGGTATTCTAGATGTATTTTCCCTGCCTCGGCCCAGGAATCCATTTCTCCAAAGAATACTGATTCCTTTTATTGGAGAATGATGTTTGGAAACCAAAATCGGGACTGTACGTGTGCTCATTGCTATTCAGGTGTCACAGATTGCAGGCCTTCTCAGAGGACAGAGCTAGGAAATACACACGCATACACACACACTAACCCAGTATACACACACTTCTAAATTTATTTCTGTACCTATCTATCTGGATATCTATTGAAGTAACATGAGTTCACACTGATACTTCTGACTCCAAACCAACATCATGTGGTTTATTTAGCATTTTCCATTTCCTTGCTTGAAATTTCTTCCACCTACAGTGAGAAATACGGCTTTCATTATCTGTATTTATTAATTAATTAACCCTAATATATACATAAAGTAGTTCCAGAATGACTAACATTACTGTGTGATAGATTGCAATGGTTACTTTTTTCATTCAAACATACATTTATTTAGAATGAATCACTAACAGCATGATGATAAACTGTTACTCACAAAACTGTACCAAGAAGTGCACAATCTTTAAAATGTGTCATTTTGCATGAGTAATTTAAATATAGTATTATTATTATTAGGTACTAGAGTCAAAGACAACATTTAGATTCTGCAGCTTTAAGATCAATCTTCTTATGTGAGAAATCATTAACAAAACCTTCAACAAATTTCCAGGTCTTACTTTTTTTTTTTTTTTTTTTTTTGAGAAAGAGTCTTGCTCTGTAGTCCTGGATAGAATGCAGTCATGTCATCATAGGTCCATGCAACCTCAAACTCCTAAGCTCAAGCGATCCTCCTGCTTCAGCCTCCCGAGTAGCTGGGACTGCAGGCATGTGCCATGACGCCCAGCTAATTTTTCTATTTTTAGTAGAGATGGGGTCTTGCTCTTGCTCAGGCTGGTCGTGAACTCCTAAACTCAAGCAATCCTCCCACCTTGGCCTCCATGAGTATTAGGATTACAGGCGTGAACCACCATGCTAGGCCTTATTCTGATTACAACAAGGAATGAATAGAGCAGATCATTGAGAATACCATAGAGGTTGCCATCAGAGGTAATGCCTGTGGCCATAAACTCTCCTTCTGGTGTTCCAAGGCAGATGTCACTGACGTGATCAGAGACGGCTTTTGCAGCAGACATTGCACTGGATAGATTTTGAGACTTGATGACAGCAGTACCACATTGCTACATAGTTGTGATGAATTCTCCCATGAGCCAGCTGTCATCTTTGAGAGCTTCATAAACAACAACTTCCTTTCCTTGCTGTTTCACCTTGCCAAGGGAGACATCTAGATACTGATTTGAAGAATGCTTTCCCCAGATAGTGGCATTCTTTACATTATTAGCAGTCATACCAAGTTTAAGAGCAATTAGAACTTTAGCTCAATTGTGATCCAAACTAGTCAAGCAACTGAAGTTCTCCTTGGGGATGGATGGAACTGACTTGGAGGCAGTTGGGCAGTTGATACTGGCTGGGTTACCCACAATAATAACTTCTAAGCTTCACCCTAGCATTCGAAGATTTTCACATTTGCTTTCAGTAAATCTTTCCTCTCCACGCCTTCCGGTCTTGGCATGGAGCACACAAGAATCACCACATCCAGATTTTTGAAGGCAAGTTCTTCTTTATCTGTTGTAATGACATCTTTTAGGTGGGAAAGAGAACAGTCTTGCAGTTCCACTAGGATAGCATCCAGGAACTCCATCATGAGGGTGATATCCAATAGTACAAGAATTATAGGCTGGTGTTGGTCTTTACCAAAGACAGATACATTTTCAATACTGTATAGCAGTGAATATACAATTTGACTAGCTCCTCCAGTCATAAGGACTCTAATTGGTTGAGACATGATTGGGAGCTGCACAATTTAAGCACCTGCAAAATGAGCCTCAGGGAGTCAGGACACCTCTCACAATGGTTATTTTTTAATGGTAATCATTTTTTTGAGTTAATGTTTTACGTCTTGATTATACATGCCAATGTAGGGCAATCCATTTGCAATCATAAGCATCTGATGTGTTTTTGATACTGTGCTTCAGAAATGTTTCCAATGTTGATAACCATGACGACAATTTTGACTTTACTTTTGTCTATTGTGTTTTAAATAATCTTATAAATATATGTTCTATTGCATTTTTAAAATTTCTTTTCTGATTTGGATTTTACCTGCAACCAGTATGTGTTAATAGATCTCTATTCCCCCATATTTATTTAGGTATAATTGACAAATAAAAGTTGTATATATTTAAGGTGTACAATGTGGTGTTTGATATACATAGACATTGTGCAATAATTACCCCATCAAGATAATTAACATACGCATCACCTCACATGGTTATTATTTTTTTGTGTGTGTGGTGAGAACATGTAAGATCTACTAGCTATAGTCATTATGTTGTACTAATATATTAGATCTCTGGAAGTTATTCATCCTGCATAACTGAAACTTTTGTGCCCTTTGACCAACATTTTCCTATTTCCTGCAACCCCTATCCCCTGGCAACCACCATTATATTCTCTGCTTTTGAGTTCAACTTTTTTAGATTTTACATGTCAGTGAGATCATACAGTATTTTTCTTTTTGTGTCTGGCTTAGTACAGTTAGCATAACGTCCTTCAAATGATGGAAACAACCTAAGTGTTCATCAATATATGAATAAAAATATTATATATGTGTGTATATATATATATATGTGATAGAATATTATTCAGCCATAAAAAAGGAGGAAATCTGCCATTTGTGATGTGATAGTATTGATAGATCTTAATAGCAACATCTCCAGTGGATCTTTTATATTTAAAAAATCTTCATGAAACAATACAGAAGATTTGGAGTGAGTGTTTTAAGGGCGGATGTTAACAATTAGCTGGTAATCAGACTCCAATTCCACCAATCATTTAATTGCATGTAATCCTCAATTCTAGCTGATTATCAGAAGCAATTTTTATACTACTGAGAGTGGGTATGAGATTCAGCATCGAAAAAAAAAATCTTGCCTGGCCATTCTGATGCAAATAGCCTAACATTGATTCATAGAAGAGATTTAAAACCACGCATTACACGTTTACCCAACTGAATTGGTCAATGCTGAATATATATTTGCTAAATTTTAAAAAGCGAAAATATGGTGAGGTTATACTACTCTAAAAGATATTTCATCTTTTATTCATGTGCCAAGATGTTTTTTAAAAAACACTGCTTGTTTTTTTTTGCTGATTTATTTGAGTACTTTTTAGATCCTGGATATAGCCCTTTATCAGATGTATAGATTGTGAATATTTTCTCCCATTCTGTAGGTTATTTGCTCTGCTGATTATTTCCTTACCTGTGCAGAAGTTTTTTAATTTAATCAAGTCCCATTTATTTATTTTTGTCACTGTTGTGTTTGCCATTGGGGTCTTTTTCATAAATTCTCACTACTGGGTATCTACCCAAAGGAAAAGAAGTCTTTTTATCAAAAAGACACCTGCACTCAAATGTTTATTGTAGCACAATTCAAAATTGCAAAGATGTGGAATCAACCCAAGTGCCCATCAAATCATGAGTGGATTGACAAAATGTGGTATATGCTTACCATGGTGTAAGCAAAGAAAGAAAGAAAGAAAAAAAAATGATGCCAGGGTTCCAATAACCAGAAGCCAGACTTAGTTCACTAACTACTTGTTTGTTCATGGGAAAATCACTTAAATATTCTTGGCCCAAGTTTTCTCATTTGTAAAATGTTGGGCTTAAAATAAACTTTTTATAAGACCAGATAAGCTCCAATACTTCATTATCTCAATTATATAAGTCTTTGGTTCAGAGCCTTTACTCATAAAATTAGAGAATTTTTCACTTTATAAAGAAGGAGTATCTGAATAAAAGTATATTTATATGTGTATGATGAAATTTAATTCAGTAGACCCATGTCAGACTGAAAAGAGGTTTCTCGTGTCCTGATGCCAGTTTATCTTTGACCATATACTCTTTATTATTTTTATCTATAATTTCATTAACATCAAATTTTTTAAGATACAAAGTTAAATAATACATAAATATTTTATAGTCTTCTGCTATATATATTATATATATTGGGAAAATGGGCATAATCACAGACTACTAGAAGATTATCAGATTTTTAGAGCATTTGCAAGTTGCAGAAAAGGCAATATAAATTAAGAACATAGTTAAGAATCTGGGCTCGGGGAAACAGACTGCTTGCATTCAAATTCCTCTTCTGCATTCAGCACCTGATTGACTGAACAATTTGGTTCTCTGCCTTGTGTTTAAATTTCATTAACTATAAAATTAAGATAATATTAGTGCCTATTTAATACCTATTAAAATTTAATGTGCCAAAATTAGCAAGAACAGAGCCTGGTACATTTTAAGTTTTGTATCAGTGTTAACTACAAATAGCATCAAGAAGGCTCTGCCTTTCACATGGGAACTTCATGAGCTTGCATGGTCTAGAAGGACTGTGCAGCTGCCTATATCCTTGGCTAAACAGTGACCTCTCTCCCCAGTGATCTGGGAATATCCTCTGGAACCAGATATATACTCTCAATCTTTGAGAATTCCTGGGCTTCAGTGCCTTTCATATGAAATGGGCTGCATCAATCCTCATTGTTAATTATGTAATAGATGCCACGGCCAGAACACCTCACATTCATATTGTAGGAACCTATTTTATCCCCCTGCTGGTGTGGTGAAAGTCTAGACAAATGCCCTCAGGTTCCCTTGGAACTCATTGACAAAATGCCAAGACTGTGAGATAAAACTCACATTCATAAATTAGCTTTTTAAATAGAATGGTATGTTTTATGGACCCCATGTGGCTTCTGAGAGAACACTGACTTCTATCATAACTTTGATTTTCATCTTAAACAAAAAGCAGTAGGATATGCAATTTTAAAATGTGTGATGTCGAGTTGATTTACAAAGTTTTTTTTAGTACATTAAGATTCTGTTATACAATTACACTTGTCTTCTTTGAATTAAAGGTAAAGTTAAGGTTTCATCATTAATTTTGTATACTCATTTGATAAATAAATCAAGATCTTGTCTAGGAAAGTTTCAGATAATGTATTTTTGTCTTTTAATTGCTTCTTTCTTATTTTGTAGAACTCCACAAGAGCAACTTCTTAACATGCTACCGGATACATTTATACATCCATGTAAAATCACTAATGAGGCACAGCGTTCTCAAAATGAAAATGATGAAGATAGTGATGGTTAGTTCAGACTCGATTAGATATTTTTAAAATTTATTATTTCAAATTATATACACTAAGCATTAAGAAGCGTCTGCTTTTGCTTTTCTTTAATATATCATTCTCAATTGCACTATGTAATTCTTTATTTCCAGATCAAAAATCATGCACACTCACTTCTTCCCGTTCTTTAGATTTACACTGCCTTAATTTAAATATTAATAGTGTCATTTAAAAATTGAATGCTAAGAAAATGTGTATTTCATTTGGCCTAGGAAAATTGACAATGTTTATCTTTGTGTAGACGCACAGAACACCATCTTTTTATTGTTGGTTATGTAAGTTGAAGAAAGGAAATTATCAAGTAAGATATATTCTTTGATGATAATATTTTTAAATCTTATTTCCTAGGTGAAGAGATCAACGTACAACATCCAGATCCTTTTCTGACAGTTGAAGAATTAAACATAGAGAGACCTGAACCATCTCTAAAGATAGTCGAACTGGATGATGTGAGTGCATAATGACCATTCACATACCTTAACAAACAGGAAATTCATAACAGTTAGTTACATCTACATATTATTTCTACAATATTTTTTTCATAACTCAATATAGTTTAGTAGGAAATTTACCTGTGAATTTAAATATGCTGATAAGAGTAAAACAGAATATTATATTTTGTAGAGAATAAATTTGTGAGCTGAACTGGTATTGTCATTTTTTTTTCTTTTGGAAGCATGCAGTATGGGAGGTGAGAAGGCATCTCACTATTTTAACTTATAGCAATGTAATCTGGTGTTTTGTTAGTTTAGTTTTTCATGTTATCAGGCTTTTTAGCAAAGATCAGTCCCTTTTGTTACGTGGTATCTATTTTATAAAATTTAAGTGAAAACTTAGTTTCTTGAATGTCATTTAATATTATTTTCTGTTTAAAGGAAGAAATAGTATTTAATATTTAAGAGGTTTAGTATAATGATAACTTGAACAAAAACCTCTAGAAGACACCAATGTAATCAGTTAGGGCCAGAGCTAGTCAGAGCTGAAGCTCCATCCTGAAGGTTTAGGGTATAACAGACTCTGCATTTCTGACTTCTTAGTCATCTCATAGCTGAATGTACCATTTGTCCTAGGTATTGCTCTTACTGTGGCTGTCACAGAAAAAGACTAGAATAGACAAAGTATCTCTAGAAATACTTCTTTCTTCTTTAGATTGATAGGTTGATAGCTTCCGCTTTTTTTTTTCTTTTGCCTAGCAACACTTTTATTTCTCTTCTGGATAAATTTCAGGTATTGGACAAATACACACACATGTGTGTGAGTGTGTGTGCTATTCATTAAATTGTTGATACATAGAGGAGTAAGCTTATGATGTACCAGTCAGAGAACTAAAAACTCCTTAGTCACTAATCTACTTGGCAGTTAGTACTTACCTTGTTAAATATAAGTTATTATTGTTG